ATTATAAAAGCTAGTTAAATATACAACGGTGATGTATCTGGCAGATTCTTGTAAAAATTTATTTTTATCTTCCTGTATCTTACCTTGCAAAATTAATTTTATTTCGAGGATTTTTATATTTTTTGTTTGTGTTGATATAAAAATCTTATCAAGCTTGTAATACCAGGATATATTTCGTTTCTCGACCAAGCATCGCACACACTTACAATGTCAAGTTTATGAAAAATTCAAATCTTTCCTTTAATAAAGAAAGTTTTGCGCTACAAAAAGGGTTAATAAATTAACTTGTTATTAAAAATAAACGAACGACATCTTGATCTTGTATCTTGTATCTTGTATTTCGCTCACTTCTTACCGGACGTTTGTTCGCACTTTCTTCATTGCCCGCTATCTTTCGCAGAGAAAGCTTTATACGCTTCCATGCTTAATCTATCCATGGACGTGCAAGGACGGTCGAGACATATACGTCGTACGACTTTCAAAATTTAAATCTCGACTCGTTTGCGGAGAGGAGGAGGAAAAAAAGAGAATCTTTATTGCTATTTTTAACATGGAATAATGTTCATTTGGCACAGTCAGTGTACGTATCGAGAAACAGGCGCTATTATAAATTAATTCTGCTATATAAAACAGCGTTCAAGCGACGATAGAAATTCGATGTATACTCGGAATTATTTTTAGAGCGATTTATATTATTAATAAAAGTAAGATTTAAGGCATACATGCGATTATTACAAAATATATTTTTCTCTTACCAGACTTGAATTATTCTTTGAACGAAATAAATAATTTGGAGAATTTGAACGGTTTATAGAATTTGATAATATTATTCGATACTTGACTTGAAGTAAGTTAAAAATCTTGGTCGATTTGACTGTTACTCACAGATTAATGAATCCTTCGTAGTTTTTGCCGTTTCTCGAGTTTTTTGTAGAGCGAAACGTAAAACGAAAAAATGCATCGCGTTGCATCATAAGAGAGAAATCGTGTGAAAAATGTAATGTATGATGTAATTTCATATCGCGTTGCATTCGACGCGCGCATACTTCTCGTTACATCTGTTTGCATCCGAGAATTTCTTTATCCGACATCTTATTGTCCTATTGTCACTTTTACTCGCAACACGGGCAGAATATATATGATCGCGTCACGATACAACCCGCTTTACGTTACATTTATCGTGAACTTTTGTCAATTATGCAGTATTAACGTCGTGCCATTACCGCCAGGAGAGAACTGTCACGTCGTAGTCGCTCGTTTTAGTAAACTGTACCACGTCCGACTTCTCCGCCAAGGCGATCTCTCGGTCAAGCGCGATAAAATACAGTTTGTGCATTGAATATTAATAAGTTGCAACAGGTAATGATCTTAGATGAAAATTTCTCTAGTGCAAAATTAATTTCAATTTTCTCGGCGAATCTGTTGTTTGTTGAAGAATTTCGATTAAAACCAGCGTAACGAATATAATAATATTTTCCAATATTTTGTATACTTCCGTTAACTATAACTAATAATTTTATGCACTGTTATAATTTATCTTATATAGTGACAAAGATTTCTGCACGTAATCTACTATAATTGACATCAAATATCATTTTTATGACAGAAAATAAACATACTTACATTTGTTAATATAAAAGTATTCGTAATGTGTGTTTATTAAAGTTGAATTTTTCTGTTGCATCAAGACTGATACTCGATACTTGATTAATGGAAGCATTTGATAGCCTCTATAATATTCAAATGTATTTGATTGTGATGTGTGACCGATATGCACGTGAAGAGAATGAGCGTGCAGCGCGAGGACGAGAGCGTGACATTAAATAATCGTCGTGCTTCGGCGGTATAATCTCGTAAAGAGCACGTGAGCGGAAAAGCTACCCCGCTGTACGACGAGGAGTTGGAAAAGTGGCAGGGGGTTGGCGTAGCGGGGGTTGGTACACGCAGTAGCTGGTGGCACAATCTCCGGTAATGATTGGTCGTCATGGAAACGAGCCAAGCACTCGCCTCGCCCTTTTTCCTCTGGGCAGACCGAGCGGCGTGGTCGTCGCGGCGTGCGTCGCGACGCGGAGCGTCGCGTCGCGTCGCGTCGCGTCGCGTCGCATCGCTGGCTGCAACACGGCGCCGACGCCAGCAGGATCAGTATTGGCCTCGAAGGTTTTCATAGCCGCAGCGATACTTTCCTTATGGAAAGAGATCTTGATGTGGAAAATATCTTTATTTGTAAAAAAATATTTATACTTATTTTAACATGTAAAATATTCTAAATGTTTAATTTTTTACCTATATTATTTATTTATTATTAACATATATTGTATTGAATTTATGATATTTCATAAACTTATGCAAAAACTTTAAAGCTATATATATATATATATATATACACACTCACACACATACACATACGTTTATGTTATTTTATTTATATGTACTAGATGTGCATTAGATATGTATTAGATGTGCACTGATTATAAGCTGATCATAACTACGTTGCACTCTTGTTATATATTTCAAATATTAAAATTTTATACGATGGGTTCAGTAAGATAATAACGGAATAAGAATGATGAGAAACATAGGAAATTCTCCACGGGAAACATAAAATATCCTACATCTTATTACTCTCGTTCATATCGAATCTGATATAATTTAATGACGCGCGTGTTATTACAGAAAATTGGAGCTCATTTGTCTTCAATTTCCAAATGCTTAATGATTGTGATTTATGCACAATAATTGATCAGAAGCTGCAATAAATTTTATCAATTAGTCGTAAGGACATACTGAACGTCGCGATGCCGTTATTCGTTACTCTATTCCTTACCACTATGAATCGTAGTTGTGCTGTCAGATTTGTTTTTAGTGATTCGATCTGAAGCCAATTACGGGCATGCCGTCGGTGGTTTCTTATCGCCTATTTGCTTGTATTGATAAAAACGATTAATAATTGCACGTCAACGTAACAAATTGTTAACGCCGAGTCTTTTTTTTATTTATCTTTTTTTGTCTTTCGATATCTTTTTAATTTGTTCGGTGTGTTCCAACGATCGACAAGTTGTTGCTTGTTGCATAAATTACAATTCACATTGGAATAATGGCAGAAAATACATGTATAATAAATTATATCTAGGTATTGCAAAGTAAGATGTGTATTGCTTTGGATACATTAAATACACGTTGTACAATATACGTCATGTATACGTTTAATATAATACATTTAGTATAGAGTATACATTTAGTACAGAGACATGATAGTAAAAAATAAATTAAACTTGATTTATAATATTTTTTACAATTTTTATTAATTTTTTAAGGCTGATTTTATTCTCAGGCTTTAAAATGGTAAGTGAAAAGTGCTCGTTTTTCGAGCAATTTTCCAACTAGGTGGAACTAGGTGGAAAATTTCTTTTTTATGGGAACAAAACGCCCAGATGACTGCCTGCGAATAATAACGTAGATTTTAATTCCGGACCGGTGCGGTGAACGTGGAAGCCGTCGCTTATGGAGAAATGATAATTTAGATCTCTCGGCGAATGTTTGCTCAATGGGCAATCTGTAGTCGCTAATCTGCTACCTTGATCGACGGCGCTACAGAACGCTCGGAGAAACTTTAGCAGGCCAAAGTTTCCCTAGCACACGCGGTTTTCCATATATAGAAGGAGTAACGGCGCGAAGTGTGTTGCGGGGGTGTGGGGTAATCGAGAAAGTTTAGTTCCTGGGTAGCTAGAGACGCCAGATATATGTGTGCGACTATGAATTCTGAGGGAGGACCTTATTCGCCAGTATCGGATTGTGAGTATAATCGTCGTCTCATTACGCAGTCTCATTACGGCATTTTTTTTTCTTCCAAAATCGTTTACCGGATACTTTTGACGTCATTGGCACGTGATCGTGATCCTTTTATTTTTAGCTATGCGGAGGTGTAAAGCGAATCAGAGAAATCGATTTGACCAAGCTATGACGTCATCATTTGGATCCCTTGCAAATTACAAAACCAACTCAAACTTAATGGTGTACACTTGATTTTACACAGGAATCTCTCAACACTCTTTTGGGAAATTTATTACACATTCATCTTCTGTTTTCTGACATACAAATATCTTTATTGTATTATTATTATAGGAATATAAAAACCGTAAGACTAAATAGTCGATGAAATTTGGAAATAGTTATTTTAGTGAAGTCGTCATAGCCACGCAGACTAAGTGTCACGGTATTTAGTCCTTAAATAAAAGATTTCCCAAATTCGAATATCAGTCGGTTTCATTAATTTTTTCGAATTTCCTATCTTGTGTAAATTTACAAAAGCGAAAATTTTTTATATAGAATGTCAATACAAGTACAATTTAATTTTAATAATATTAATTAATTATATCAATAATTTATTCATTTATCTTTAAATATTTCCAATAAAAACGATACCATTAAATATTAAATATTTGTCAATAGATTTATTATCAATAGATTAAATGACACAAATGATGATTATTATTGACTAGAGTAATAATTATCGAATTCAGTTATATAATGTAGATATAGTTACTTAATGTATTAAATTTTTATAATTTACATTTGAGTTTTGAACTAATTCTACTGTAAAAATAGTATTTTGATCTCAAGAGTTTTTCACAGAGTTTTAAAGTTAAAATTTGTTATCATTCTTGGAGATAATCACGTTCAAAGTGTATGTATCTAAGCGGTATTTCGCAGCCGTATTAGCATATTCGGCTAACTACAACCCTAATAATTGCATCTAAACTTGTTGGGTTCACGGATATTCTATTTTCGGATATTCTGTACTACAACTCGTGGCAGTTTCGATGCAATAAACTAACAAAGACTCGTACTAACTCACTTGTTATTTATGATATCACGCTTTAATATATCTGCATTTCGCGCACCGCTAGGCAGACATCCCATGCACATATTGCGTATTATTCCGCCGAATAACAATTACGTAGCAACATAATAACGTATGTCCGTCCTCGCGATTGTTTCAGAGGTGCCTTCTCCGTGGTTCGACGATGTGTGCAAAAGAGTACCGGTCATGAGTTTGCTGCAAAAATCATAAACACCAAAAAACTCTCCAACAGAGGTAAGTGACGAGTGGCACGTACGTTTTAATCGAATTTTATGCACCGTCGAATATTTGAATTAATTTGATTTTAATTCGACTTTAATTGCCATATAATAAAAAATTGCGTAAGCTTTCTTTTGAATGTTTTAATGTTTTAATGTTCGGAATTTCGGAATTCGATTATTCTGAAATTTATAGTAACAATCGTAACTAATGCCATGTACGTATGTAGACATTTTGCGATTAGATATGACATATTTGGCGGTCCGCTCATACGTATGCGCAATAATATTATATGCGCGATAATATAATATTCGTTATTGTGAGGCATGGAATATTGAATTTGGCCATATGTAATTCTAAGTTTGCAACTTGTTCGCGATACCTAACGCATGCTACATGCGTGCCATGCGCTGGGAATATTTTGACATATCTCGTACGAACAAATAGATAAACGACAGAATTACTCCTTTTAGAATTAATCGTTATTATCGTTAAATAACACCCGATAGATTTATATTTGTCACAATCAAAAGTATAATTGCAAATCATGTGTTTATATATTATATTTCACTAAATCTCTAAACGCTATAAAGATCAGGTATTTTGTCTTTGTTACAAGATTATGATGAATTACATAAATTTGTACTAATAAATAGTGATAACAAAATACTTTTCGGTATATATATATATATATATATATATATATATATTATTT